AACGATACAGGAACAGTGCTATCTTGTTCAATATTGACAGAGCCTTTCGAAGATAAGCCCAGGCTCATTCAAATTTCCACTCGCTTGGGTTTTATTAAATTCCAAAGATGGGCTCTGTCAAGAGGCTAACCTCACACGAGCATGCACAATATAAACGTACGTATTCGATTACCTTGTTCTTCTCTAATATTTCAGCAATCAATTTTAAACTTTAAACTACAAGAGGCATATACTGGAGCTGGGGGATATAAAACATGGATTTCTCAAATAACCTTTGAGTTGTTGCTGGCCTGACTAATTTTCGCTAATGCAATGGCGGAAACGGAGGGGCATAAAAAAACTAATAAAATTTACGTTTATCCTTGAAAAGGCACTCGAAAATTTGCGCCTAATGCGCCCCTTCGGATGATGTTGGCGAAGATGATGATGATGATGATGCTGATGAGGATGATGCTGAGCTTGAGAGACCTTAATATAGACAAGCACAAGACATGCCCCAAAAGACCTGACGAGACCCTCTCCGCCTCCGTACACATCTCCGTCCCCGTCACCGTCCCCATTCTCCCATCCGCTTCCCCATCTCCACCCCATCCAACGCTAAAGTGCCATCGAATTTCAATTCAATTTGCGAGGCGAGGCATTCGCTAAGGGTGCGAAAAAATTTCTATAGCATATTTTTGTGCGTCGCGTTTGACTTGATTTGGCTGGGACAGAAGCGCGGGCGGATTGGGGAACACTGAGAATTGGGCGTGGGGCGTGGGGCGTGGGGCGTGGTCCAGTGTATGAGTAATATTGGTGCAAAGGGTTACCCAGAATCGCTGATATTGATAGTCAGAAGGCAGTGGAATAACTAAGTCTGCTGTGAGGGATTTAGATGGGTTTTCCTTTTGCTTTTTTTTGACAGAATTTCTCTCTTTTTCGCCTGTTTCTCTTTATTATATCACGTTCTCTACATAAATGCGTTAAGTGGAGACTTGGGGCACAGGCTGCGTGGTGCTTGAAGGCGTATTTGAAAAGCGCTTAAATTCAGTTGAGCGTCTTCTTTTTTTTGTTATTTATATTTCTATACAGCACCCAAGAAAGTCCTTAGAATCGGGTACATCCTCTCAAAACTGATATGCGCGTGTGAGCTTTTCTCTTTGTCGGCTTAAAGCTGTGTGAGCCCTCAGGACTTTCAATTGAGTCACTCTGGCAGCAATTTTGATGGCATTTGGGCCTGCCTGTCATATATATGTATATTTTCTCGTCACATTGCCAAGGTTTATCCTTTAGTTTATATTATTAGCTTGTAATGTGCTACCATAATTGAGGGGATTTCCTTGAGAGTTTGAGTGAATGGAAGGACTTTTCTGTCCTTTTCTATTCTATAGGAAACATTTTCTTTAGGTAAGCCCTAACGAAAGGTGTAAAGACGAAACTAATGCCGCTCTAAAGTACGTTTACTTAGGAGGTGAAGATTCCCTCATAGAAAGTGGCATTGATCGAAAACAGGACGAAACCCTCAAGGATATTTTCATAGAAAATATTCACAGTCAACTCAAGATTAAAATGTTCATATTTGGCTCTAAAACTAATTGAATTAATTGGCATTTCAACATAGTTGAACAATTAAACATTTTCTAATGCGTTTTCTTTTTGCAGTTTGTTTGAACACTTTTTTTGTTTGCAAAGCTGTCAGCCGAGAAGTTTTGTACCTTTGCAATCTTGCAAGCTACCTTTACTCTCCATTTTCTTGGATATTTCTGTGCCTTTGCCTCCATGCCGCTGTGCCAGCTGTTCCAGATTTATTTAAAAAACTTGCGCGGAACCCTGACTGCGTCCTTTTCAATTTAGCTGGCGATTCTTTTCTTTTGCCGGAAAGCAAAATGTGTGTTTTAGTGGCTTGGTATTAGCATGTTGGATATACATAAAGCTGGCCCACAACCTCAGCTCTTAGAGGCTTTATGAAAAACATTTAGGCTTGCCGTGCATCGTCTTGGGAGTGTCGAGAGAAAGAGAAAATATGGTAAAAATGGTATGTTTTTGACTTTTGGCGTTGGAAATTTATGTTCCGCAAATATGTGGCATTCGTTTTTGCTTCGCATCTCTACTCGTACTCGTACTCTTATTCGTTGGCCCTCCTGTTTGCTGGCCCTCACCGTGTCACACATGGCCCAAGGATGGGGTTATGGTAAGGAATTTGAGACTTTCGGAGGGAAGGCGCTTCATAATTTAAGTATAGCTGGAAAAGGGATCAAAGCAAAATGGAATACCTTCGACAACCAAGTGAAAATATGGGTACTCTCGTAAGTATACACCAAAGGACAGAATTCTTTGACACCCACGCAAAGTCAAAGTACCAAAAGCCATTTCGTCATTTCTTTCAGACTTTTGACATTGCCGACAATTGTCAAAATCATCAATAAAATTCAGCTGCTCCACGTGCTCGAATTTTCCGCCAAATTGTCAATGTGGCCAGAAGTGGCCCGAACAAAGGCGAGCAGGAATGAAGAGGTCTTGGAGCCACACTTCCATTGATCGGGGGGCGGGGCCCTTTTGAAATCAAATACAAAAGCAAGTTCTAGTATTATTTATTATTGTGCATTGTTTGCGACGGCCTGGCCCTGATGAATTCTACTTATCGGTTTGTTTGCTGTATTCATTCAAATAGAATTCTATTTTTACACAAAATGATTTATGTCCTTGGTCGGGATGTAGATACGTGTGTAGGTATCTGTTTCACCTTTATCTACGGATACTATTAGCAAAGTCAGTTCCGATGATTAGCGAATTCGGTTTCGCTGGTCCTGGGTCGAAGTTTTGTGTAATAAAACCAACTTCTTTATGAGTAGCCGAGAGCACTCTGCTTTTGGAGTAATATCGCAGCCATTATCGTCTCATTTTTCTTAGTTTTCCAACATTTTCTCTCGTAGGGCCCTGGAGCGGAGCAGGACAGAGCGGAGCAACTCTTTTCGCGCTTCGCCACTTCGACATTAGTTTCGCTTAGTGAGCAAAACTTGACCACATCGAACTGCGAAGCGTGTTGAGAAAAACAAAAAACCACTCGGAAAACTCAAGTTTATAGCCTTCTCCCCTTTCTGCGGGGGAAACTTTTCTCCACACGACTTTGCTGGACACTTTTTTCATATATATGTATATATGTATCTATGTATATCTGTATTGAAAAGTTTTTTATATTTGCCCAACTGACGTTGGTCGCAATAAAACAACAAAAAAGTTTTCTAGCAGTTTGTAAATTTCCTAATGTTGGGCATGATGGTAAAGAATTGCCGCAACTTTGGGAACAACTTGGGGATTATCGATTTTAAAGAGCATTAATTCAATGATCGGAAGAAACTCATAGTACCTCTGATATAAAATATAAGAGAAATAGGTTGTGACCCCGACACGTTACCAATATCGATACAATATTTAACTGCATACTGTCTAAGTCGATTCGGACTACATCTGAGACTCTAAGCGGAATATCCAGACCTCAACGAAGCGATGGGGACTCCAGCAAAAGGCACTTAACCAGACACAATGGAAGCTTTCACCGTCCGAGGATGGACTTTTTTTCTTTTTAATAACTTTTCCAAATTTTTACCCAACTTATTAACGGTATAAATGAGGGGAAAAAACCTTGCTAGCCTCATAAATGAGGGAACAATTTAATTTTTTTATTTCTCTAACATTCTCCCTCGAATATCTTTCAACAGTTTCGCGTGCCATAATAACAACATTAAATTTTTTAATGCCACACGCCGAGGTAAAAAAGGGTAACACAACCTGGTACGCACTACGGCCAAAGCCAGGCTTCTTCCTACCTCTCTAGAGCCCATGAACATCCCCATCCACACCTAACCAAAGCGCTTTTTGCATAAAATTCATATTAGGCACAAGGCCAACCGCAAGAAGATAAAAAAATGAACACGCGCGAAATTTTGTATAAAAATATAATGAAAAGGAATTATTTATATGACTCGCACAGTTAAAGGGAAAGGGTTCCGCCGAAATGAAAGATTATATTTTGCAGCTCGGAAAAACCAAAAAAGGGGGAAAAATACACAAAACATATTTTTCTCCATGTGGCTCTACCTCGGGGATGGTTTTAATTGAAAAAGTATTCATCCGGTTTAAGAATATTACCAGTACTCGTATTTACAGGTGTACATACATACATATGGTATATTTTACTGTTTTAAGCGTTTAATTGAGTTTTCCGTGCCGTAAAGCTGGTTTTTGTGGGATTAGGAGTATAATGCCAGCTCCGAGTCCTCTTCATTGTTCTTCGCAGCCCTACAAATTGCTAAATATTTTTCATTAAAAACCAAATGCAATTTGCCAAAAAACTCTCAAGTACGCGACCAAAAAAAAAAGCGGAAAAAATCATTGAAAATTAATTAATGCCAATTTGTAAAAGCACTGAAATCGAAAACTTTTCTGTTCGTCCCAGCACTTTCATTACTTCGTTAGCTTCAAACAAAAATGACCCAAAAACAGAAGAAAAAGTATCAGAGCAAATTCTTTCCAAAAAAAATTGTTCGCAAAGTTTTTAATAGAAATTACCATTTTGGTCGCTTGGCCGTTTGGTCAAGTGTCAATAATTGGAGCCCAAAAGACCAGTTCTCCGACCCGGGGAGTGAAAAATACCATTTCCACCGCCCACTCCCATTATTTTGCTTGCCTCACACTCCACCAGTCGACACTTTTGATTTCAATAAATTCTTGTAATTAGCGCCAGGCATTCATTTCTCTTCTGTGCCACATTTTTTGTTCGCCGGCCCGTTCTTCTCTCGAAATATGCAAATTGAATTCGGTTCGCCCAGAAACTCACTCAAGTGGATGTTCTTGGCAACAGAATGAAAAGAGTTGTACAGGTGGGCGAATGAATGGATCGGCCAATCCCTAATACCAAGCTACGTGTCAAATTAACGCCAAATTCTGGAGACCCTTAAGATCTTTGATATTGAGAGTCGGGGCCTATTAAATATATAATATTGTATTTAATGAGTGCAGCGCCAAAGTTAATGTCAGGATTTTGTAGTACATTATGATTATGTGGTATTATGACCAACAGCAGCAACAGTTCCGTTTGTTCTTTAAGTCAATGTCAGGATTTTGTAGCCCACTATGTGGTATTATAAGCAACAGCAGCAACAGTTCCGTGTCTTCTTTAAGATATATTTGGTTTAGTTTATGATATAGAACACAGGTATCTGCCTTTTTTATCTGGCGTATTCTCCGCCTCCGGCTCGGCTTGTGGCTCTACCACCTGCTGCTCCTCCGAACCAGTAGCTGCTCCAAGGAATGTCATAGTTGTTCCAAGGACTCCAACTGCCGACCCAAGGGCTTCCACGGCTGGTCCAAGAACTTCCTCGTCTATCACTTCAGCTTCAAACATCTGAGTGAAATCATTATGTAGGTTTAATTTCAAAATTCTTTTTTTACCGCTGGTTTTCCAGACTTTTACTCACGTGCTCATGGCCAACTTTTTTGGGAGGCTTTGGCGATGCCTTGGGCTTAATTGTGTTCATAGCATCACTTGCGTTCTGATAAAGACTTTGGGTCATTCTTATACCTGGTCGTCCCTTCATGTGTTCAAATTTTCTTGGTATGCGAAGCAAAAACGGAGAGGCGTAGCCACTGGATGGGTGCGAAGGTGCACCTTTCCGACCCTTGATTTGGGCTAGAGATTGTGGTATGCGAGGTAAAAACGGCGAGTCAATGGCCACTGAAACTCGGGGACGCACACCGATCACACCTGTCACAGGCGCAACCTTAATGGTTGTGAAATCCGTTGAGAATGTGTTGCAGGGTTCTTGGTACTCCGCAGAGCTTAGATCTATATCTGAATTCATTCTACAAAATAATGAAGAAATTATTTCTTACTTGGTTTTGTTTTAATTTTGTGTTCACCTGCCGATGTGTTGCGAGGGACTGATTTTTCTAGATTCCGAAACTGATATTGTGATAAAATACCTCATAGAGCACTAGATGAATAAATTTGAGTACTTTGAATTGTTGGTTTGTTGACCCAAAAATGTGTAGATGTTAGATACCAATGTTAATATTGATTAAATCCATTTCAAATGCCATAGTTATATACTCGATGTTGGTCAGTGTTCCCATGGAGTTTGAAATACTCTTATCCACCTATTCGTGTCCACAAATCACAGTAACACAATGACATACTCGTAAATGAACAACAAAGGGGAAATTACAATAAACAAGAGGGAAATATGCAAGACAACAAACCGATGTCAACTGCCATCGACCTACTAGCCCCGACTCTTCGACTCCGACTCCGACTCCGACTTTGGCCCCGAGACCCTCCTCCATCATTCGCAATATCAAGTCAAAGTTCTGGGAAAATTCCTCAGCCAAAGACAAAAGACATGAAAGGAAAAATTACGCCTTTGGCAGTTTTTAAAACATTTTGCTGGCGATTTTCTGTGCTTTTTCTCGTTGCCCCCTCTCCGTTCTGCTTTCTCTCTTCTCCTAGCTCCTGGCTTGTATCCTTTTATCGTTTCTAATACTGGCATATTTGTTACAATGAATGTTTCTGGCCCTCCCTTTGGATACGATTCCCTTGTTTATTTTTCATTTGAAGGCGAACCCGACGTACTCGTACCCTATCCACCACATTATGAATACGATCTGCATATGTTTCTCGCACTACTCCCCCCTTTGTCTCCACCAACCACTCTCGTCGGTCTGTGTGTGTGTGTGCGCGCGAGGCGGAAATGTACTGAAATGAGAAATTTCCGTTTCTGGTTCCGATGTCGGAAGTAAAACAAACGCCGATAAAACAGGCCCAAGCCTCGACAATGAGACTCTCGAGTATGTGTGTGTATGTGTGTATATGTGTAAAAAAGAAGCACAAGAAGAGGAATAGCACCGAGAGGTATAAATGATTGCTGTTGATAATAAGAGCCGCCGAAATATTGAAACCAGTTGCACACTTTTCGGCACGCAGCCAGAATTTATGAACCATTTTGGCCGTGCCGGTTGGAGCATAAATCGAGAGGAGTAGACCCGCTCCTTACCCAGCCTCCAAATGCGTTTTGGTACTTGCTAATGGCACATAAATAACCACTACTAACTAAACAGTGACAACACAACCAGTACGAGCACAGCGCCACTTGGCCCTCTCTCTTTTGGTTCTGTTGTACTCTCCTTTTATCTGGGCTCTGGTTTTTTACGAGTATTTTTGTTGTCTTGTAAGCTAGGCCTCTGAAACAATAGAGTATTTAATTGTTTCATGTATTTTTGGTTTACTTTTGGTAGGCACATTGAATGAAATCTGAAATTCGAACATCCGGATACGATGTAAAGTAAAATTTGTACTTTAGATTGGACATTTGGCATGATATTATGTGATGTATGCGAATAAGTAGCCTGTTCAAGCAGGGATAAATCCGTTTAAGTTCGCTTCTGGCAGTATGAATAGAGATACAACTGTTTATAGGGCGTTCCGCTGTTCGCATAGCTCGCAGTTTCTTCCAACCTTTTTGTTTTATGCTTGTTGTTCAGTTAGTTCTCGCTGCTGCCGCCGCTTTCCACGCACATTAAAATTATGCTCGGAGTAATGTAGTCTGCACCTACTGGCACCGACCCACTAAACCACCAAATCACCCACTATGCTGGCTGTCCCTGTCCCTGTCCCTGTCCTCACCTCCCTACACAGCCATAAAGAAGAAAAGGCAGCGCTTCCCAAATGGTGGACAGGATTGTGCTGCTCTCGTGGACAGTGGACATTGGCAATTACCGTTGCCGCAGTTGTGACAGTCTCACAGCTTCCGCTTTCGCTCCACCTCCCCCCACTCTCGCTCTCGCTCTCGCCCACACTCTCTCTATCTGTATCTCTATCTCGTTCTAGTCCCCGTTCATAATTCGCCTTGGCCTGCGGTCGTGTTTCATAGCTCCCCGACCAGCCCTCCACCGGATTGTGGATTATTTGTGGCGGTTTTTGGTTTGCCTTCGGGAGGCCGAATCTCCCCCCACATTGCGTACACGCAGCATGTGACAGTCCAGAAATACAATAACTGTGAATGGAATTTCCTCTGCCCGAGTATTAGTGTTTTTGTGCGTGTACGCCTGCTAATGTGTGCCTGCAATAAACAATCAATTTGTTAGAGAGCAGCCTGGAAATTCCGGTATTTGCTTTATGGTAATTAAATAATAAATAATATGTTACATCGCTCAATATTTACGAGTACGAGTATGTGCCGCCTTGCGGAGTGTCAATTAGTTCAATAAAATATTATGAATTGTTTGAGTAAATCATAAAATTACCAATTTTCAGGAGCTACTGTTTTATGGCTGCCCAAAATAAGACGGCTTCAATTCACAATTCATTTGGGGCAAACTTTCACAACTCAACACCCAACTCTTGCGAAAGAAAAAACCAGTAGAGCCCAAAGTGAGATACATTCATCTGTATTACGGGTTTGTATGCCCTCTGGTGACAAATAACACTAAATTAAAATTTTATTAGGGTCTTTATGGTGCGTCGCTTTACACGGCTGCCAAATAAAGAGAAAAAAAGGAAAGTGGGCCGAAAAGGCCGGGAATATGTTTTAAATGTTTTGCAAATTTCCGAAATTTCTGTTGTCTGCCGTCTGTGTTGCCTTTTGGGACCCGCAAACAAACGGCAGAACAAAGAAGCAAAAAAAAAAAAACAAAACGAATCGGCGACAAAGAACGAAAGCGAGAATTCCCCAAATTGATTAAAACTTCATAAATTTACATTTTTATCGCTGAGGCAAACAAATGCCGCAAAATGTGGAACAGGGTTGCAGGCCTGCAGATTCAACCCCAAAAACGAAACGCAAACCGATTCAGCATTGGAGAAAACGAAGGGAAACAAAGGAAAACAAACCCACACTCTTATGAATATTTACACGTGTTTTGGCAACGCAGCAAGCCTCACACGCTTTCCACAAAAAAGAAATGAAAAAAGTATATTCTGTCACCTGTTTCGGGGTCCCTGAGCTGATTTGCCCCCAAAAGCCAATGATGAAGGGGAGCCGTGAGTTTTGGGGCTGGCTTTCTCCCAAATGAGAAATAAAAGTAAATTCACATCATCACAAAATATTATTAAGCAATCAGCTTCTGTTTGGCCCAGGGCCCTGGGCCCCTTTCGTGGCCTGAGAAATTTCTTTCGTTTTTTTTTTTGTTGTTTTTATTAGCGGGGAGAGCGTTGTGAGAGTGCGAGTCGGTTTACCTGGCGTGACACCCTGCGCTGATTAAGCGAAAGTGATTGAGTGGCAGGACAGGGGGTGTTGGAGTGGGAGTGTGTTTAGGCAATGGGGCGTTTAATTAGAGCCACAGACAGACTCGCACACACATGCAGGAATTTTTAATTTATGCATTCAATTAAAACAAAGCCGAAATGTGAATTAAATTAGCATTTTTGAAGGGCTGCTGCTGCTGGCAATCAAAGAGTCAGTAGCGAAAGGCTTGAAGTAAATGGAAAATAAATTGGAAATGCGGGCAGAATTATATCTGGGATATGCTGTTGCCAAAACTTAAATAAAAATGCGTGGCACCAACACAATGTTCCGTTTTGCTTGCTGTCTACCCAACAAACTCACAAAATAACAAGTGAATTTATGCGTGCCGACCCCTGTCTTAAAGAGATGCTTAAAACTACTGAAAACCGGGAATATGCATTGATAACTAATAGATACATTAATGTAATATTTTATTTTAGTGGAACCTTTCTAGAAAAGTTTCATTACCATAAACGGCTTGTATTCATCCCAACTATCAGTCCCAATGTTCCGGCACTTAGTGCGTTTCAGAGTTGCACACTTTTTGGCAGTTTGACATGTTGTTGATAACTCGGGGAGAGGAAGCTTAAGTAATGTTATTCTTAACTGCGAGTAAACTTTTGCATACAAAAAAAAAAAAAATAGGGAGAATTTGTAGCTGCTCCTCCGTCCGGCTCGGAGTGAATTTTAATGCAAATGCAGTTCGAAAAATGATTTCAGAAAAGTCTGCAACTGCAGATGGGGAACACAGACGCAGGCGGGGCCAGGTAGCAGCTTAAAAGGTAGAGAGCACTTTTCAGGTGTGCGCTAAATTAAATTAAAAGTCAAAGTCATTAAAAGCCAAGTTGGGTTGTTAGTTAAGTTGACGGGGCCGACGGTCGAAAATGCTTTCGCAACATCCTCTTTAATTAGGAAGTCCGCCCCCAAAACAAAAGGCTTAAATATAGTTTTAAGCTTATCAAGTTTGTTTCTGATTAGCCGAATTCAAGGCAGCAATTGAAATGGGTGTTGGGGCGCCATTCGTATGGTTGGGAGCCGTGCTGACAACCAAAGCAAAGTCAACAACAATTTTCACCATTTAGCCCAATGCAATTTAAGGATCCCCCCAGCCCACACACACCCACTCGCACACACACTTTCACCCACATCGAAAAACATGATGGCAGCAATTACTGTTATTTGGAAAAGCGAACAAAAATGAGGGGTGCATGGAGAAGTTTGGGTGCTCTATAGGAATCTGATCTGATGAACTAATAGAAATTCAAGTAGAGAAAAACGCTGAGACCAATATGGAAATATCGGACAGATCGAGTATTACGAGTACCACATCTCTAAGAGCAGAACACAATGTAAAAAATGTAAAAGTAGTAAGAAGGTTTGTTACTTGAATTAGCAATTTTTTGTAACAAAAAATTGTATACCTTCATACATTCTTCAGCCACTCACTTATGGTGATTAATCTTGTTAATATGTCCGGTTTCCGAAAGAGTAAAACGCCAAAAAACAAGAGGCCCAAAAAAGAAATGCAAACAAAATTGGTGCACAGGCAAAGTTTTCAATGGATAACGAGACACTGCACAGTATCGCTCTGCGAGTATCTATCCCCGCCTCTCTCTCTCTCTCTCTGTCTCTCTCTCTCTCACTTAATACCTTGTCCAGTCTATCTC